TTGCCAGTGCTGGGCCCATTTTTGGCCACTTCCATCATCAAAGAACTGCTCGCCCCACTTCTCAACTCTTTTGTTTCCTTGTTTGTCAATTGCCTCTTTGTAGGCGGTCTTAAACCCCCAGCGTTCCTCCCAAGTCTCCAGCCACCGCTCGCCCTGCGCAAACCCTAAACCCTAAACCCTAAACCCTAAACCCTAGGCCCCAGGCCCCAGGCCCTAGGCCCTGGCCGCGGCGCCTCGGGCCAGAAAGGCAGATGCAGGTGGCCACGAGACTGCAAAGACCCCCACGATGTCGCCCCCACATGTTGTCAAACCCGCGAGGGTTTAGGGTTTAGGGTTTAGGGTTTAGGGTTTAGGGTTTACCTGCGCGTTGCTCCCTTTTTTCTCAGCCCACGTTTCGGTCTTCTGGTCTCCGTCAAACTTCTCCTTCCATTGCTCTTCCCACGCGTCCCCGTGCCTGCACAAACCCCAAACCCTAAACCCCAAACCCTAAACCCTAAACCCCAAACCCAAACCCCAACCCCTAAACCCCAAACCCTAAACCCTAAACCCTAAACCCTAAACCCACCAAACCCCAAACCCAAACCCAAACGCAAACGCAAACGCAAACCCAACCCCAAACCCTAAACCCTAAACCCTAAACCCTAGTTGGTTGCCTGTTCCATCCGGCCTTGTGGGCTTCTTTTTCTCGGGGGTTTTCTCTCCAGCTTTCTCTCCACTCGCCCTCTTCGTTGCCTCCTTTCTTGTTGGCATATTTTTCTTTCTTTTCTTTTTTTTCTCCGAACTGCTCTTCAAACCAACTCCACACTTCCCGCTCCCTCTGCTCCCTGGCACACCAACACGCAGCTAGCTAGCTAGCTAGCTAGCTAGTTGGCTGGGGGGAGTGGCTAGCTAGCTAGCTAGCTAGCCAGCTCGCTAGCTAGCTGGGGGGTGGGTGGCTAGCTAGCTGGCTGGCTGCGTGGGTGGGTGGCTAGCTAGCTAGCTGGCTGCGTGGGCGGGCGGGTGGCTAGCTAGCTAGCTGGCTAGCTGGCTAGCTAGCTGGCTGGGTGGGGGGTGGCTGGCTAGCTAGCTAGCCGAGTGGGTGGGTGGATGCCTAGCTAGCTGGCTGGGCGGGTGGCTAGCTAGCTGGGTGGGTGCGTAGCTAGCTGGGCAGCTAGCTAGCTAGACGAGCGGCTGGGGGGG